AGTTTGTTAAGATTGCAACTTTATTTGTAAAAATAAGATTGTAGTACACTATATCCACGCAGATTTGTCACATCCTTTAAAACAATATCAATACAGGGGAGATTTTTTAAGATAGTTTCCAATCTACTCCATCTAATTGCTAGCTTATTTCAACATATTGCAACCTTATATAAAAAAATTTCTTTTCTATATGTTACTTCAATATTTGTGCCTACCTAATTATCTATTCACTTGGGGGTCTTTATCAGGCTGATGCCCAAAGAAAACTACTAGATTGATTGTATTCTACCAACCTTGTGCATTGTTTTTTTTTTTTTTTTTTTTGGGAATTTTTGCCAAGAGACAAATTAGGTTGGATGACCAGAGCCCCCATTCCAATCAGCAATTAGTTAACTTGGGTAACTTAAAAACTTCTAGATCCCTATATCTACCTTTTCAAGCCTCCACTTATTGGAATCCACCCAAAATTTGAAAACTTTATCGAAGGTGTTTAAATATTTCAAAATATAAATAGTTTCTTGCCATCGTGGGAAGATCTGACGTTAGATTCAACCCTTTTGAGTTAATTTCTAGTCAAATGTTGAGCAAAACATTGTTTAATCACACGTATCTATGTTGCTTGTATTTCACTGTTTTAAACAGTGATTTATTATCATTGTCAAAGTTTTTTTTCAATTGATTAGGGTCGGAGTTTTTTTTCAATTGATTAGGGTCGGCTATGCGAATGATGTTCCGTCATTTTACTTTTTTCAAAGTTATACCCTAGTATGCTCATATGATATTTCAAACAGTGTTTACTACCATTTATTCCATAATATTCTCAAACATACGTATATAGATCACACTTATCTATCACACTTTGGCACTACATGCACACAGATAGTTGCTCTGCTCTATGCTTGAAATAGATGTAGTAGACAAAATATAGAAATATAAACTTAAGGACTTCAACGGACTTCTAGAAGCAGTTTCCTCGACCCAATGGGCAGCTTGGTCCTTTTCTTGGCGGGCCACACGGTTTTGGCTTGTCATGACCATGGTAGTGGTCGTGGTCGTGGTCATGATCATGGTCAGAATCGTTGTCATGGTCATGGTCATGGTCGTGGTCGTGGTCATAATCGTGATCGTGATCGTGATCATGATCGTTATCGTGATCATGATCATTAGGACCATGGTCATTACCATTGTAGTTATTATCACGATCATGGTCGTAGCCGCGGTCATGTGCATCCATAACATCCTCTTGGAATCTTGCTCCTTTTACTTTCTTGGATGCTTCCTTTGGAGGACGGTCCGGATTAGACTTGCCTTGACGGTCATGATCACGGTCACGGTCATGATCGTGGTCGTGGTCGTGGTCGTGGTAATGGTCATGGTCGTGGTCGTGGTCGTGGTCGTGGTCGTGGACATGGTCAAACAAACTTGTAGCTTGCTTTGGAGGATGGTAAGGCCCAGGGTTTTCGCCATGCCCATGCCCATGCCCATGGTCGTGCACATCAATAACTTGCTTCGGAGGGTGATAGGGGTTCGGCTTGCCTTCATGACCATGGTCATGGTCACGACCACGATCATCGTCACGGTTGTCACTGTGATCATCATAACCATGGTTTTGATCGTGGTCATGCACCTCCACAACCTGCCTCGGAGGGAGGTAAGGCCCATGACCTTCTCCATGCCCACGGTCGTGGTCGTGGTCATGGTTATATCCATGCACACCCGCAGCTTGCTTTCGTGAGAGTGTTTGCCCTACCACCACAAGAGTGGCATACATGCATAGAACTACTACTAAGATGTAAGACGACCTCATTTTTCACAAAATTAGAGACTTCAACTTTGCTACGCAAGTTCAAATGAGAAGAGGATTACATATGGTGAAATGAAAGTGCAAGCATAATGGTGGCCGTAATATTAAAGGCCGTGTTTTGTGAGGATTTCCAATAGCAGCACGGTTAAGTGGTTTTATGAGTCACCTCACGTTTTTTCTCTTTGCAGCACGAGGTAAAAGCAGATTAATTAAGAAACTTAAAAGAGTGATTATCTCTGTATGAGGATAATTATAAGAGCAAAAGTTGAGGTGAGAAGAAGCGGCGGTCTGCCTTCCCATTACCTTATGGCACTGGAGCTTGTGTGCCACACGTGATGATTGTAAATGCACTTTGCTAACATAACTTGGGGTGGCCATGGAGCCAGGTCAGGGTATGGGTCCAAAAATTGGACCCGACTGGCTGGGTCCAGGTTCAAATATTGCACCCAAACACTATATGGGTCCGGGTTCATGTGGACCCGACAGAGATAGTGCTATTATTTAAATAATATTTTATATATAATAATTTAATAATATATAATTAATGTTTAAACATTTATAAATATATATTTTTAGTTATAATATTTAAATAATATATGTATTTAACATAAAATTTAAATATGTATATTTTTTTATTTTTTTATTTTTTTATTGTGTCCAAACAAGTCAGAGTCCGGGTCCCGGAACTGGACACGTTGCCACCCCTATTGTTAAGTACTTGAGTGTAAAAACCGTGGAGTACCACCTCTGTTGTTAAGTACTTCAGCGTAAAAACTGTGGAGTTCCGACCGTTGTAAATGCGCTCAAGAAAGAGAGAGAGAGAGGGGGGGAGAGAGGGAGAGAGGTTTTATTAATGTTCCAAAAAAGAAAAGAGAGAGAGAGAGAGGAAATGTGAGAAATTCATGCTAATTACTCCCTCGGATAGAAGTTATTTGGGATGATTTTTGTAATATGAAATTTTGGAGTCCACTTATGGAATTTTCAATATGAATCCCGAGTTTAAGGAAGAAGATTGTAAGTTTCTAAGGACCAAGATATGACTTGTGTTTTAAAGCCCAAAATCGGGTAATGAATCAATCCGAATCGGTGATACTTCAATAAATTAATAAGTCATTAAAAATGATGAAAAATATTAAGAATATAAGTTGGGTTCGAATCACACCCAGTCGTCAATTCTAGTGTCAGAATTGCACAGGAGTCAGGACTCTTATCGAACCATGAAATTCATACTGGATCAGGCAAATTACTAATTTGGTCAAAAGAAAAGGGGTCCGTCCATTTTTAAGACCCTATTTTAACTTTAGACCTCCATTGTTTAATCTTAAGACTATTTTAGAGACAGTATGTATGAATGTGTTTTTGTCAGGGGAATAACAAAAGAGATAATAAAGTATGGCTATTGAAAAGCCAAAAATTAGGTTAGAGACGTGGACGGGTCTCCTTCCCCATTAACTTTATCTTATATTTGAGTGCAACTCCCGTTATTTTATCTGTTAGCAGCTTGGGGGAAGTGCGCTTTTATCTCGGTGATCACAACAGTCACGTTATTAAATCACACCATCCAATCCGGATAGGAGGGTGTTGGAGATTAGATATACATTTAAGCTAGTGTGCCGGCTTCAAGAGCGCGCATACTATGCTCATGTGAGAACATATTGTACACTTAATTCCCTCGGGCAGAAGAACAACTTGGGAAGATTCATTTGATCTAAAATTTTTGGGAACCACTGTAAAATTTACTCGTTGGTTCTTAAAACATAAACTTCTGAATTATTGAGTTTTCTAACCGTAAAAAGATCGAACAAGTTCTATTCAATATTGAGGCTTTTTTCTTTTTTTTGCAAACCAATAAAGAATGCAATTTAAATCTTTTTTACTAAACTAATACATGAGTTGAAGCGGTTAAATCCCAATATTTGAGGTCCTAAACATGAAAATGAGTCGAAGAGGTTACATCTCAATATTTGCAGTCCTAACAATACACCTAGATTAGGCTTTGCCTGAAGGAGTATCTTTTAAGTTAATGCCCCTTCGTCTCTCTCATATCCTCAAACTAATGAGCCGCCACAGCCCATATGACCATTTCGCCGAGGAAAATTTACGCGTGAAACCACCCAAGCCCCACTTCCTGTCCATGGCACCCTGTTATTTTTTTCGGTTGCCGTTACAGTCTAAAGTGCCAATATTAGATAATCAAAGTGAGGAACATTTTTAAAATTTCATCTGCCAAAAAGCATTCCAATGGCCTTAAAATCCATCTTCGCACCTAATTATGAAATTTAGAGCTCCAAAACTGATGTAAATCAAATGGACTTATAAGTAAAATTTTTAAAAATAGACAGTTGGATAACATGTTATAAGATGTACCATTTCCAGAAGTTCATACATGAGCACGGAATACGATGAGCACAACAATCCGATCCCAATTGTATTCCCTCAAAAGTTTCAGTCGCCTCTCTGTTTTGCCAGGAGGATCCATACTTAAAAGTGATGTAAATAACTACAGAAACTTCCCTCCACTCATTGACGTGTTCCCTTCCACAAGAACTTGAGAAGCCCCCAAATAAGATACAACCCTTCAATGGAGCCAGAACTTGGGGCAACTTGGTAACGGTTCAACTAAGGTAAAATTCGCTTTGGCTGCCAAGATTCATTCTTGACTCCCAAGTAAACCTCATCGGGTTCACCCATAGAATAACCCCGGCAGGATTTCAAGCCGTGCATCCTTCCAGTACTTAAACAATTTATTGCACATTCAACACTCCCAAAAATATCCCCAAAGTTTTTCAACAGAGAGAAATAATGGCCCAATTTTTCTCATCCAAAACTAAACTCCCATAATTGATGCTCAGGTATTCTTGGCATTCTTTACCAAGGAAGAGATTACTAGCCTTCAAACTTCAATTCTTAAAACAGAAGTCCTAGATTATCCACCCAAATCCTTCAATGCAATTTGCCAAGTGCCAGAACTCAAAAGACTCGAAACAACCAATCGTCGCACTTTTAAAGAGGATATAGAAGGAGCAACAAACAATGAAAGGCACCACTTAAATTCATTTGTGCAAATAAAACACGAAGCATAAAGCATAGGCTTCCAAATCGAAAACAAAAAGGTGAAAAACAACATATACAACAAATGAACAATCAACCCCACAGGTTAAAGATGAACAATCAACCCTACAGGTTAGTAGCAACAAAATAGAAGTCTAGAAGGTCTCATAATGAATAAAAGAATGTACTGCTCTATTATTCTCCAACAACAAAAAGAAAACTAAATTTTACAATTTTGATGTATGTTAATAAAAATAAATCACGAAGCGCCCTACCTACAAAAACACAGCCGCTGCCACCTCCATGCAACAGCGACGGCTCTCCAACAGAAAAGAACAATACATAGACACTATCTATTGTAGTCTTTTTCTTTTTTGCTTTTCTAAAAGAACTTCCCACAAAACACTTGCACGAGCAGAGCAGGCATCCCAATTATGTTTTTCTAAGCTGAACTGTTCCCTTACCCTGATACACAATCAAGTAGCTTTAACCGGCCTCCGCTCCTGCAGCTGCTGCCTGGATCGGCCCATCTGATCTATAATCACCACGTCCTCCCCGCCCACGGCCCCTTCCCCTGCCACGACCACGCCCTGCACAACCCACCATAAATATCAGTCAGAACTCTCTCACACATCCACAAAAACACACATGTTACAGATTCTATAGAATCTATACACATTATGAATTCTAGAATATAAGACCTGTATCAGGTGTGTTGGCAACGTGGACACAGATTTCCAAGGTTCTGGGCACATATTGACACACAGACACATGTACCTGACACCTTAGAGGACTTAGAACAATTCTGCCCAACCTTTTTGTCGAAATACAACAATAGAAGTCATTTGTGCCACTTAGAACTCCACTCTAATCCCCCACTAGATATTATAGGGACATATCGTGTCTAAAGGGCCTGCATTTCTTTAATGTATATACATGTCATAAAACAGGAAAGTGTATGATGCAAGCATTCGAGCTTTCCAAAGGTCGCTAGCAACTTACCCATAATCCGATATAAACAGTAGACATTTAAGTGTTATGAGAGGAGCGGAACCCAGCCGTTCATCGTTTACACTGGACAGTTCGAGAGGTGCTAGCCAACTATCTAAACCTAGATGCTAATCACCTTATATTGTAACTTGTTTTCCTGCTCAACATTTTCTTTGCACCCATAACCTTAACCTGCCAGATATTCTTTCCCCAAGCCGAACCCACTCCAAAACCTGCTCCCGCCTCCAACAACTATGATGCGTTCGCATGGCAAGCTTTGAAAAACACAGCAACTCTACTTGAACATAGCAACAAAAAATCCCCGCCATAGTAAATGCACGCACGTAGACAAATGACTTTCACGAGTTGATTATTTTTAACATGCCGAAATTTGGGAAAGCAGACAAAAAATTCCAAAGACCCATAACCCTTCCCGACCCTCCCACCCTCCATGTGAGAGGTGTGTTTTTACATTCCAGCCTTTTCACTTGTGTTTATGGAGTGTGCAAGGCAAACTACATCTGTTTTTAATTAGGTGGTGTAACACTCCAATTTTTCAGAATACAGCATATTCTGTGATTGATTTTGTGTGTAAGTCACCAATACATCCATTTCGAGAAGTTCATAAAGTCTCAATTTTCATAACTTAGCATATCCATGAAGCTTGTTTTTTGACTAAACACACATGCACAATTCATAGTTGAAGTCTAGCAGCAACTTTTCAGTAGTAGCAATCCAGAAAATGCAAAAGGCAAAGTAACAACCTGGGCATGCTATTTAACCACACAAGTACCCATTTTTCAAATAACCACCAAAATAAGCCTTCCATACCATGCATTACACACCAACACCCATAATAGATCAATTTAACCTCTGCTAAGCCAAAGTTACACATGCAATCAAAGAGCAAATCTCATGTTCCAATTTAGGACCTGCTCAAACCCAAGTGTCTTGAGTCTCATCTCCCAAGATATCAAGAGCATTGTGTGGAAACTCAGAATCATGGCAATGTCTAAAAAACAAAATATGATGATACTAATTAACCATTACTCAAAAACAATAAACATAGCATACCCTCTATGCCAAAAACAAAGAGAGAAAAAAAAAGAGAGGAAATACAAGTCATTAATTATGAAGATCAACAGCTCTTGGTCAATTGAATTTCACGATTAAGTGGACCATCTGTATGGAGAACCATGACCATTTCTAACTAGGGTAGAAATACACCAAAAATCTCATATAATAAGAAAGAGTAAAAAGCTACTTAAAATTCAACCATAACACAATCTCTTTTGGAATATGCTCATCATGAATGTAAAAGGGCACCCTTACCTCGCCCTTGTGCAGGTGGTGCATCTGGTCCACCGAAGTCATTGTAACCGCCTGCCTCTTGCTGCATTTCTCCACCACCATAGCCACGTCCATGCCCACGGAATGGGCGGCCCCTTCCACGGCCTCGACCTCGACCATAACCACGACCACCTTCCCAACCTCCATCTCCATTGTATTCACCCACCCCATTCATGTTCCCTGCAAAAAAAGACATAACTGAATCACAACATGCTCTTAAATACTAAGCTTTAAAATAAACAATAACTATAAATTAACAAAAAATCTGATGTTAATAAAACCAATACATTAAGTTTTTAATCCGTTTTTAATCCCCATTTCAAAAGACAGTTTTAAGAACAACTTCGGTTCCATAAACCAATACATCTTTCAAAAAATTTATAAAGAAATGAGCCAGTTGCCAAGATAGGGAACGCTTTCCCTTTGCCCATGTCAAGAATCCCATTCCATAATGAATGAGGTCCATCTTGAATCTAAAAGATGAAACCTCCAAGTAAAGCTGTAACTTCAGCTCATTGGAGTGAACTGACCCTGCAGGATCAGAGTAAGTGAGAACTGCCTCACCCTTATGCTCACTTTCCGAACTCTGCTGGGCCCACATTTCCAGCAGAACTCCCATCAAAATTGCATTTGATGGTGCCTTGGGGGAAGGGATGATGTTGGATCTGGGGGGGTAGAGGGAGGGTTTCTTGGTCAGTCTGTTTTTTCTTCTTTGTGTAGTCAGAACCCAAAATTTCATTTTCAGTGCTCACCCATGAAACAGTGTGAGCCCTTTTGTTGTTTGACATGAATCCACGGAGCTTACATTTAGAACAGGATAGGTTTGAGAAAATTAATAAATAAATAAATATATATATATATATATATATATATATATATATTTATTTATTTATTTAGATTAGTAAGAAGACATCAAATGTTTTTCACTTATACAAATATGAGGACCACAGTTGGATACGCAAGGTACAAGGTCATTTACTGAATAAAAAAGTAACATTGTTATCATACAGCATAGTTCCAGAACTGTCCAGGCATAAAATAACGATTTACCTCTGGGCCTGCCCCTTCCACGCCCTCCACGTCCTCTGCCCCTTAAACCAGGTGAACCCTCTGAAATGCAGTAGACAAAAATATATAACAGGGTTTACTAGGAAAAAAACTCTGCACCTAATAACATACAGAGGAAGAGGGATGAGACTTCACAAGAAATTTGCTTACCTCCTTCATAGTCAAATTCATTCCATGGTTTCACCTGATCTGCCGGTAATGGTGATTGATATCTGCAACAAGAAAAATATGGATATTAGAGCACCAAGTATGGCATGAAGAGCACATAACAATCAGTCAATCAGAAACATGAACTGTACATGGAAATATCGTATGTATATGTTAACAAAACTTTTATTGAGCATATCACCACAAAAATGATCAAAATGCATCCATCAAGGCAGCACCATCATGACTGTGACAAGTTATCATTGGACACCAGCAGTTTCCATCAGAGGCTAGGGCTTAAGGTTCCATTAACATATAGTTACCAATCTGTGAAACTTGGAGCTCCAAGCTAGCACAAGATTGCCCAGGCAAAGGTGTTTACATGCGTATGACGTATAGCATACCACACACATTGGCAAAAAGCACCCAACATGCAGGGACGGAACAAAGTGAATAGCCTGCTTTTTAATCATACAGACATTGCAGATATTTAGGCAGCATGATGGCACTGTATTGAGAACAGATAGTGAATGACCCCCATGTATTGCACCAAATATGCATCATAGGTATACTACGAGTGTAGCTATAAAGGCAAATTTATCATATGCAAAACTTGAATGTGATGAACTATAGAATTGGAAATAAGGGAAAAGGTGATTGCAGGTTTCTCTTGCAATGACACTAGATGGAAGGATAGAACTCCTTGAAACCCAATGAGTCTTCTCGACCTCGTGAGGTTGCATGCCATGTAACTTTCCATGAATCAGCACTGGCATCTAACGATTCGGTATGCATTCTTTCTAAATAATTGACATAGTATACCTTTCTTATGGCTAATTTGCATAGATGAGACCATGGATTCCAAATTAACAATCAAACCAACAAATAAAAGAAGTTTCAAACACCATAAATCAAGACAAAAAAGGGAAGAAAAAAAAAAAAGGCAAGCAGAGTCACTGCAGAATTCATGACCACCGGCTCATTCTGTCATTTTCTATGTTGCTTGTTAACGATGATGAAAGAAAACAAAAAAAAAGAACTACAGAACAATTTGACCGAAAGGAGTAACAAGTCCATGAAATTCCCAGCAGTCTCCAAAAAAGGGCAGCAGAGGTCTCCCCAGGTAGTCAATCTGGCATTGTACGTATATAGACATATTCAGAAATTTACAGTGATGAATATAATCTCTTACATTTGAGGGAACTTAAGGGGGTAGCATCGACCTAGAACAACACTGGTTAAGAAGGGTCTTTAAAAGGGTAAAAAGAAGGCTCAAAGGACATCGATGAAAGTAGTGAGAAAAGATATGGCAACTTATGGTCTGATTGAGGATATAGCCCTTGATAGAGCAGAATGGCAGAACAGGATTTGTGTAGCCAAACCCAAATAATTGGGATAAGGCTCGAACGATGTTGATGACGATGATGATATTTTAATCTCTAACATGTCGCCAAGGAAACTCCAGCACACCTAGAACGGGCTAATGAATGTTTTCTCGCCTCAATTCAACCACATCAAAATGCTTACCAGTAACTACTAGGGGTGGAAAATTTTCCATTGGGTGCATAAGCCACTATAAAGTCAGAAGACACCCAAGAGTTCCAATGTCGAGTAGTCTTGGGAGTCATCCCAAGAGTAAATGATAATGAGGTGGAATGGAAAAGGGCCAGGTTTAGAACTTAAAACTACTTCACCAGCAGATATCAAGATACGAAGAGCAAATCACTTAAGATGTATTCCTTTAGAGGCACTCTTTGAAGTTTATACAAGTTAAATAGGGAGGGTCACATGGTAAGCAGCATTGCCTAACGACTAGAAAACATTCATGGAATGCCTCTTCCACTAAATTGAAAAAGAAAATAAAGTTTGCAAGGTCCCTATATCATCCTAATCTATTGGTTCAGTAAGAAGCTTGCAACTTGTAAAACCCAATGCAGTAACCTCCAAGGGGGGTTTACCCCTGCAACAATTCCACAAGAAATTCAGGTGTTGAAAACAATCCCATCACCAGGTCATAGCATTTTTTTCCAACAGGCAATCATTAGGTTGATAATGAATACTCATAAATACAAGGAGAACAAGAGAAATATTCCACTTATAAATAGAACCAAAACAACTTTTGCAGAACACAGTAACCAGGAAAATGTGAGATCCTCCAAAAAAATGAAAGTTGTTTTATGGGGGGGAAGAGCAGTGGGGATAACAGGTCTCTACCTGTTTTGGAAAAAAATGAGATAGGCAACGATAAGAGAAATATGGATTTCAACTATAAACTACAGCTCACATATCTGCATCTGAGTACACGTGAAAAGATGTAAAACACGTGCCCAACTTTAAATGATCATCTTGACATACAAAAACCTATTTAAAAGTTGAACTAAGAGAAAGATTGGGAATAAAAATGAACTAAATCCGCCGATAAAACTCCAATCCAATTCTATAGTAAAAAAACATTCATGAACATGCACTAAAATCAATGAGTTCACCAAAGACAACTGCTTAATGAAAAAAAATATTGAAAAAGGTAAGCAACAAACATGCTTCATCCAATTAGTCATATAAAATAAAGCCCAATAAAAACTTACAGAAATGCAGATGCATCACATACTTTTCTTGCTACCATGTAACTGTCAAACTAGATACACTATCATCTTCTTCTTTTTTTATATATCAATAAAATATAGATAGACTATCATCAATCATATATTTATCAAAAAAAAATTGATCTTTCTTACCCAGTTGAGGATGTGTCGAGCTACCATGTAACTGTCAAACTAGATACACTATCATCTTCTTCTTTATATATATATATATATATATCAATAAAAGATAGATAGACTATCATCAATCATACATTTATCAGAAAAAAATTAATCTTTCTTACCCAGTTGAGGATGTGTCGAGCTCCTTCTTAGACAGAGTAATCGTGATCATTGATACATGTCTTGTAGTTTCAAGTCTGGAAAGAAAGGAAAATGTGTTGTACAAATTATAATGAAGCTCCCTTTACAAACCATTAACAAACCGAAACAATGTAAAAGCAATGCACAAGCATCTTACGGAAGAAGGCCTTCTTCCAAAGGCTCCCACATGTCCGTTATGTCAGTTGAACCAATTGCTGTGTTCTGATGTAAACCAACAATCCTTCTCTGGAAGAAGACAAGAGGAAGGAAAAAAATGAACAGGAGTAAAATATTTACATGGAAATGGTAATAGGCAAAGCCAATTGAAGAAGAGAAGATGCACAACATTTGTATCGGGAAAGAAGCAATAGGATATTCAGAGTAAGTTCAAAAGCAATCCACATCCAGCCTACCTTGATCAATTCTGCAATCATCACAGTTTTGTTGATAGCCCTTCCCATAGCCTTCAGGACAATTTCATTGGCTCCCTTTTCCTAATAAAAATTCCAAAATCAAACATGATATAAAGCATAATGTGATCGAAGTTCAATTTATTGCCCAACTGCAATCCTTATTACTGTCATGCATTTAATCTCACAATCAATACGGTCAAGGCCTTCACTAAGACAGGTGGCAGTTGCAACACTGCTGATGCAGCACAGAACATAAATTGAAGGAGCATATCATAGCAATGAAATGCTTGATACATATTGATAAAAAATTTGAATGAGAACAGATAATGGTAACACAATATCAAATAGGAGCAACTATTAATAAGTTGTTCACGCATACAAACATTTTAGAATCCCACATATATTGTTAAATAACAATAGACAATAATCAATTCCACTAAAAAAATTTATCATATATAAACACTTGTACAAGTTTCAACAAATAGGATAAATATCAATCAAGTGTTTGTACATCAATACATTTGTGTATCCAGAAGTCTTCAAGACATTTCTCCCATATTAGCCATTCTGACTGTCCTAAAGGTAGCCTAGTGACAGTGTTACTCATTGCCCCAAGCATCAACCCCCTCCAGGACATCTAATAAATTCATTCGCAGTAACAGGTAGTGTTTTCAGATCCATATAATAACATATAGACTCATCAATCACTAAATAAACAGAAATTATTCGTGAATCCAATCAGCGGTCGTGCCTTCTGTGTACAAGAAACAGACAATCCTCACGACCAAAAAGAGCACAATAGAATATCTCCTATATCCAAAAGAAGCCCTCAAAAAAGAGCAAACTGTCCAATTCACATTTTGCCACAACAGAAAGGCTCAGGGTTTCAGGCAAAGTGACAGAGGGGAAAACTCATGCTACACGTTCAAACTGTTGCTCTCTGAAATCCTTTCACATGAAAATCCACCTCTTTCAGTATTCTTTCACCAAGGACCTTACCCAGAAAAGAACATCAATCTTCCCTCCAAAGATCCATGAACTTGTGTGTCATGGAGAATCAGATGCGAAACAGTGAATGGATGCATGTCGGCATTTTCCAGAATGTTCTATCAAGAACCCCAGCCCCCCCATCAAAGCACAACCACCAAATTATCTTTTCATACCTCTTTAACACCAAGAAAACCTCAATAACAGTCCCAAAGTACCCTAGAAAACTCAAAATACGATACTGATAATTCGCAACAAAGTAGAAACCATTCTTATTAGATCAAACTTCCCAAATCATTCCCAAATCATATGGCCATACCCTTCCACACCAACAATAAGAAATAGATATACTACGAAGAACTGTTTTTAATTTGCAAGTGGAAAGGCTTATGACAATTTTGCACAAAGAAAGGACAACAAACTGTCCAGACGATAGCATCTCCAAGATAGCCTAACTCTATGTAGAAATTACAGCAGCCAGCGAGGATAGCATGTATCCCCTGCCACCACCCTTTATTCCTTCTCATATATGTAACAAATATTCCAACTTCCCACCCTTTGCATTAATCAACAGTTCAATGCAGCCCCAAAAAAGTATGAGGGGAAGCACTAGAATAGAGAGATCCATTAACCACTGAAGCAACCAAAATCATCCACAATCCCAAAGACCCAAACCATCAGAGAAGAAGCTCTAATTCAGAACCATGTCGCAGCATCTTCCACAATCCCAAAGACCCAAACCATCAGAGAAGAATCTCTAATTCAGAACCATGTCGCAGCATCTTCCGCTTTTTAGCTATTTCTCATCCAACAAAGAGGTAACCTTTGTTGTTAGCCATCGGTGATCACCATCCAAGCCTTATCCCAATTATTTGCGGTCAGCTTGATGATAGCCATCAGTGGCATAAATCAAAATTTCCAATCCGCCGTATTTTTTTAAGTTACTGTACCTTATCCTTCTCAGGCCCAAACTGTGAATTCTTAAGCTACCATTACCATATCCTTTTTGGCACCCAATCCAACAGTTAATATGCGCATTTACTAGGACATATGCCACCTTCTTTTTTTTGACATTTAAATTTTCCATTCCCTCCTAATCTTATTGCAAACGCTAAATAGTACAAACCAACAGTATATGCACTTTCGCACCAACTATAGATACCTAACAGATGTCAAAACGAGGACATTATCTCCTTCTTTGAGCTATATAACTAATTTAACGAACAAGAATGACCCTTTTAGCTATTTTTAAAGACAAAAAAACAGCTGATTTTCTCACAAATTCAACTACCGCACAATGCATTAATTTTTTTTACAAAGAAAAACAATATAGTTAGCCATCAACTGATCACACAGAATCCTGAATCCTGAATAGTGCAGTGATAGTTGAAAGCAAAAACGAGGTAATTGAACAATCTTCAAATTGGTGCACAATATATTACACTAAAGGCCACATGTTTTGAGGTCCGGATTGCAAGTTCACACTCATTCCACCAATGTACAATGATACAGAGAAAACTGCTTTTGGATGCATCTACATAAAGGGAGAGGTCAACTGAAAATAACCCCTATCTACTTGATATCAGAACATACATAATGGAATGAAACAGACTATAAATGAAATATACAATGATTGAAAAAAATATAAACTAACACACAGGCTTACTTTGTGGACAATCCATTTAACCTATTCTCACACCATTATAGTATAAACACAGAATATCACATTTAAAAGGATCAAGAGATAACATATTGCACACGGAACAAAAATAAAAATAAAAAAGCACCAATTTTTACACGAGGTATGATACATTGAAAACCCCCATAGAAACATGCAATTTCTAACAATATTATCAAAATCATGACAGAAACAAACATAAAACAAGGACACAAACTTAATGAAAATATAAGTGAAAAAAAAAATAAACAAATACATACTTGAAGAAGGCTAGTGGCATAGGTGATGTAGTTGCGCATTCTCCCCTGAGTTGTTATCCTTATCTCATTCTCATTAATCGGTGTGTCTGGTCTTGGCTTCTCCACCCTCTGGTACCGATCCATCTATTCCCAAAAAATACATAAAATCAATGAAAGATTGATACAAAGGAATAACAGAATGACTCGTATATAAAAAAACATCTGCAACAATCTCCAAATATAAGAAACAAATCAAACAGCATACTGCAATCTATCCAACAACTACAAACCACAAACAACACCAAACATACTCAAGCAACACAAAATAGTCCAAAACAGCAACCAAAACCCTAATAAAAGAGAACGAATCAACAAGTCCCCAAACAAAACCAAAACACAACACGCTGTCCAAAACAGCATAAAAAAACCTACAAAGGTCCTCAAATCAATGGATCTGAACACTCAAAACCCAAAAGGAGGTAAGCTACAAAGATATTCAACTAAACCAGCAAACGAGTGCGAAGAACAGACCACAAAAAACAGAGAAAAACAACACAAATACACCTACAACCACCAGATTCAATAGAAAAAACTCGCAAATAGAAAGAACGAGAAACAAAACAACTCGCAAAGAGAAAGAAGAGAGAGAAATATGCGTACCTTAAGATTGAAGCTCTCAGAGCCCTTCTTCCTCTCTGTTTTTTTTCTTTTCCGCTCTGAAAGGCTTAAACCGTAGGGGCCTCTCTTTTTATACGTGCGATAACTGTTAGCGGGTACAGCACACGCTCGCGGTCATGTAGCTCTCTCTTTCTCTCTCTAAAAGTTCAGCTCCAGCTCTTTCTCTCTCTAAAACTTAGAGAGAGAAAAGCAAGATAGGGTTTGCTACTTTTGGTAGCCCTAGTGGTCTAAACGTAATAAAAGATGAAGTTACGGGTACTTTTATGGTCGCGGCTTTTGTTCGCGGGAGCTGGATAACGATATGAACGTGTCAACACGTGTGCAAGCAGGGCACGTGTTAAGTTTGTTGAGATGTACACGTGGCGAGCAGGGGGTTCAGTCATTTCTAGGGTTTCCTTTGGAGGGCTGTGATACGACGGTCTTATTGCTAGATTCGATGGTGAAGACGTAAATACCCTTGGTCCTTTTCGAAATATTTTTTCAAACCTCAAATTGGTGGAAATTTAAATTTTGAGAGTTTCTATTATTAGCACCAATGTTTTTGGGTCAAAGAACCTTTGTTTTTTAATGTTATCTTGTTTTCTTTTCATTAATTATCCAAAAGACATACAAATTCTGTATAAGAAGTTAAATCCGTTTGGGTGTGCTGATATAATTCACAGTTTTAATGAAATTTTTTATTTTTTTAAACATTCAGTTTTAATGATATTATTTATGCTAGTGAATTATCTATTGTTTGATCGTGTCCATTATTATCTAAAATAAACTTTTATGGGTGAATATCTAAAATAAATTTTATGTCATTACAATTTTGATTTTACTTTATTCAAACTTATCCAACAATTACATGTTTTTAGCCCGAAGTACCTAAAAATAGTTAGATATTACCAATAATAAGTTAAATAAATCAATAATATCATATATATATATATATATATATATAATACCAAACAACTAATAAATTAATATTATTCATAGTATATTAGTTTTAGATAAGATAAGTTTTAAATTATCATCCACACAAGGCCTTACATTTTAGGCAAATTACTCAAATGTGGGTGATCAAAATTGCAATGTGCTTTAGATAGAACTATGAAATCTAGACCATTCATCGACTTGCGCTATTAAAATCTATACTTCCATGGATGGACACTCCAATTCATCATCGTTAAAGCATTTTCTCAACTAATTGGGATCGACTGGATGGATACTTCAGTTGCCATATTTTATTTGGGACCTATTATGTGTGTTATATTTGTCTTCGAGAGGTAATAATGTATAAAAATTAATGTGTACAAATAGGCTTTTCAGGACATCCTTCTTAAAAACCATTCTCAAAATGATATGAAAAGTACTTAAATATTTAGATTTTTTATAAATTGTAGTTTGTTTAATTTAGAAATGGTATCATGCTAGTGCTCGAGTTTGCACAGGTTTGTGATTGTGTACGAGGAAAAAATTAGGGACCCGGTTTCTATGCAGCCAAGCCTGCATATGTAGAAATGCGAGTCTCTTAATAAATCTATTTTTTAGATGGATTTTAAGACTTAATTTTTAATGACATATAATCTCTAACGTGGAGATCATGAATATGAAAAAATAAATAAATTTTAAAAACTAAAAATAATATTTTTAGTAATAAAACATTTGGACCATTAGTTTCTACTGTTTGTAGATGGAACACCTACTTGTATTCATCTCAAGAATGGATGCTTTAAACTTTTTTGACCGCATATGTAGAAATACCGTCAAACCCGCATGAGACAATTTTCCAAAAATAAAGTGGATAGATCCAGACTAAAAGCAGGAAATCTATTTTTAATAGAAGTGCTTGAATTTAAGAATATAGTTTTGTATTGAAGTAAATTCTAGAGGTAATTAAATAATATATAAGCTCCGTCTATAAGGAAATCAATTTATGCTGAATTTCTTAATTAGAGGTTATTGAAAAAAATTAAATATTTCGAGGGACTTAATTTAAAATTATAAAATTGAAAATTTCAGGAAACATGGTCTCTTAGGATCCATGAATTATTAAATGTGGCATGTGTGTTAGAACAAACATGCTAGCCATGCTTTATAACATAGTACGGACTAGCTAACGGTGTGTGGTGCAGAATGCTCCCATAAACAAATTATATGGAAAGTCAAAAGTTTAAGAAATGTTTACTCCGTATATAATAATTTTATTTCTATAGCATTTTTATTAATATCCTGTCTAATATCCATATTATATTTCATCTCTTAAACTCCATCTATTTTCTATTACCATTCAAGAAGTAAGAGTGGAAATGGGCCAGGCTGAATGGGGCCAACACTAGCCCTCGCTCAGCCTTGGGCCTCAGTTTTTGGCTCAGGCCCTTCTTTTTTATGGCCGGGCTGAATGGGGCCAACACTAGCCCTAGCTCAGCCTTGGGCCTCAGTTTTTAGCTCAGGCCCTTCTTTTTTATGGCCGGGCCTGGCTACCTAGCCCATTGCAATTATTCGAGTTATGGACTTATATTTATGAGATTTTATGCATCCGTTTTAGAGGAACTCCTATTTTGATAGGACATATCCTTAACATTTAAGACAGAGATCTTTTATCAAATCTCTAAAATTGGTAGAGGCTTATCCTAGTGAGAAAAATATGCAATCATCTAAGATAGGTTTTAAGAACTTGGAGGGAAAAATAAATTTAGAAAGAAATAAAAATATCACAACTATTTTTTCGCCCTTAGTAGATAAAATATGAATTGCATAATCTTTATTCTTATCTATTAACATAGATAGATGTGGATTACATAATCAAGTGTATATAGATGGAATAGAACCAAGAGTGTATATAGATGGAATAGAACAGAAAGTGTACATGTATGATTATATTGATCATGGACAATTAAATTTTTAGGGGCAAAAGTACATGCACCTGATTGCAAATCTTGTCATAGTCTACAAAGACCTAGCAAAATGTGATGATGTTCACAAAGTCCATAAAAGCCCTAGTAAAAATGTGATGATGTCCAAAAGTTGTGGTTCCTGAAAAAGGGCTTGAACTTGAGTGGTTCGCAGTTGATGTTAGCAATGTGTTGTATCTAAATCAACATCATATCTTAAGTTCGATTTCTACTGCTGACATACATGCGTCGTGTGAAGTGAGTTTTCTTTTCAATGAATATGGTTAATAGTAAGGTGAATTGCAACAAAGAGGAGGCTTGTGGAAGCCCATGTCCGTCGGATGAGAGATCAGATGTTCAAGAAGATATGTAGGACCCATCATGATGGGATAGGGTGGGTCACCCTTTCCTCGTAGCCACACAATACTTCATCCAAGGGTGTCTGTCACGGCTCATCTCTTCTCTATATGTAAGTATTTCCCTTAATCAGACTAGCTTATGGCCATTGAATTCTGAAGCAGGTAAATCATATGAAAATTAATTTCTTTTAAAAAGGTCTAAAACTTGGAGATCATAGATCACCTTTCCATGAATTTATTATTGCCATTAAAATATCATGCTGATAAATTATATAAAATATGTTCTAAAAAACAAAAATGTCTAAAGTTTAGGGATTAAATATCATATTTTCAAGAAAGACAATTCCTTTTCCAATCAAATTTCCTATGTTAATGTTTCAATTAAATTTTGAATCGAGATATTTATTGTAGGAAGATATATGAAATTGCATTAAGAAGTTTGTTCCTGTATATTTTCCCAAATTCTCACGTTCTATAATTCTTTTGAACAGGCACCGTACCCTAAAATATGTCTCTTATGTAGGGTTGCATACTAATTGAATGTCACTTGTTCCTACCCTTAATTGTGTTATTCTATGCCCTGAATACGCAGAGAATATATACCCATTATATGGCTAAATCTTCCCCCAAAAACAAAAGGATGTGGTTTGTATACGGCTGAGGCTCTATACAATAAAAGTAAATCGCACCTTCACATAGCATTGAGAAATGAGGTTTCAATATTGGAAATCTTTGTGATAGCCTTAAAATATATTTTCATCTCTAATTATAAAATTTAAAGTTTAGAAAATAGTGTAGATCGAGCCAATCTATGAAAATTTGAAAATACTAAAAATTGATGATTATAAGATGAACTATTTCCAAAACTTGGAATCTGGTTTTTTCTCATAACCATGCATCTTGATGTTGAGATAATCAATTTGAGAATATTTGGGCATCAAAACAACATTTTCTAATGACATTTTTGAGGTGCACCCTAATTTAGTTGTTTGGAGCCTCGCACTTATGGGTGCGGTTTATATAGAGCCAAGGCTCTAAACAATCAAAGTAAATTCGACCTTCAAATAGTATCTAGAAATGTGGTTTCAATATTGAAAATCTTTTTGATAGCCTTAAAATATATTTTCATCTTTAATTATAAAATTTAAAGCCTCAAATATAGTGCAAATCAAGCAGATCTATGAAAACTTTAAAATCTTGAAAATTGACAGTCAAAAAGCATTACAAGATGTACTATTTCCAAAGCTTGAAATCCATTTTTTTCTCATGTCCATGTATCTTGATGTCGAGATGATCAATTTGAGAATATTTGGGCATCAAAACTACCTCTTCTAATGAAATTTTTGAGGAAGGCTTTAATTTGATTGTTTAGAGCCTAGGCTCTATAAAAAAATTTTCAGTTGTCATTTGCCCTGGTGGGTTAAAATGTATCTATGCATTATGTCTTGGGTGAGACAATGACCATTGAAACTTACCAATCTTTCAATTCTTACTAGGGCGCAGTTTGCATACGGATGCATCCGTAGGTGTAGAGGTAAGGTGCACCTTCTT